GGGCGCCCGGTCGGCGGGCACTGTGTCACTGCCGCGGGGCGCAGGTACCACCCCGAGCACTTCACCTGCTGCTTCTGCCTGCGACAGCTGCACAAAGGCACCTTCCGCGAGCGCGGCGACAAGATGTACTGCCAGCCCTGCCACAAAAAGCTCTTCCTCTGACTGGTGGCTCTGCAGCTGCCCCAGCACAGCCCCCCCTCCTTCCTGGCTGGATGCCCCGGTACCATCCCCACCACCACCATCCCTCTGCTGAGCCAAACAGCCCTTCTATTGTCCCACTGAGCCCAATGTCCCCAGCATTGTCACTGCCAAGCCAAACATCCCGGGCATCATTCCTTGTCCCCCTCCCTCCAAGACATTCCTGGTATTGTCTCCTCCTCCTGGCCAAGCCACATGCCCGGGGCATTGTCCCCTCTGAAGCAATAAAACACCCAGCCCTACCTTCGATGTGTTAACTGGTGGCTTTGGGGACACAGGGGCAAGGCAGGAGGGCTGGAGCGCCCCTGCCCAGGTGCGTGTCCCACAGGGACACTGGGTCCCCATCTCTCAGGGTGCTGCCAGCCGGGTGTGTCTCTGCCCCAGCTCTTTCCCGTGACACAGAGGACAGCAGCCCCAGCAGTTCAAGCCCAGGAAACCAGCCCTGGGGACCCCCTTCTGCTACCACAAAAAGAGCTGTTGACCCCCTGGAGAAATCTTTCCAGCAGCAACATAGCTTAAGCAAAAAGCTTTCAGACTTTGTTATTCCGCAGGAAGGGATGCACAGGATTGCAGCCCAGCCACGCTCTGCACTGACAGCCCTTGCCCCAGAGAGCTCCCCCAGCCAGGTATGGGGACACACTCCAACTGGGCGAAGTCCAGCAGGCACCAGAGAAGGTGGAAAATTCAGGGAAAGGCTTCCCAGCAAGAAATCTCAGTTCTCCAATAAGAGGAAAGAGAGGAGCCTCAATCACCCTGCAAAAAACATTAGGAGCTCAGTACAAACCAAAGGTTTGGTGCTTTGATCCCCAATCTTTTGCTAGAAAGAGGAGAAAATGCCACTCCAGCCCAGGAACTGGTTTGTCAACCTTTCAAAGCCATCCACAGCCAAGCAACAGTCAAGAGCACAACCCTGCCCCTGGAGAAGGCACTTGGTCCCAACTGCAGAGCCAGAAACGCCAAGGTGGCATCCTGAGGTGGAAGACACAGACACACTTTAAAAACTTTATTTATATAAAAAAATCATTTTGTTTTAAAAGCGTTACAAGAGTGTGCACAGGAATCAGACAAGGAACAGCTTTGTTGCTCCATACTCCCCTCCTCCCCAGCCCCACCAGGGCAGGAGCAGCCCAGGAGAGCCAGGGCAGGGGAGGAGAGAAGGTGGAAGCGTTTTTTGGTTCATTTGGAATTATTAAAAAAGGAATTAGTGTTTTACATATTTAAAGGAAAAGAGAAGAGTCAGACCCCAGAACAAAACCAAACCGAGCTGAGGTGGGGCTGGAGCCAGGGAGGGCTCCGCCAGAGCTGGGAGGTGCTTTAGGGCAGAGGAGGGCAGAAGGCACCAGCTCAGCGCCTCTGCCTCCCGCTCCAGCCCGGGAGGGCTCCTGCTCCAGTTTGCAGCCTCCTAGAGAGGCTTCCAGTTGTACGGGGAGCCCAAGGGCTCCCTAAAGGTCACAGCACTTAGAGGTGCCCCTCCCCACTGCAGCAGAGAGGAGGATGTGTATGTCTTAGCTCCAGCAGAGAGCCCTGCACCCCATCATTGAGGGCAAGGGGGGCTGGGATCCCCCCAGAAACAGGCTTCCAGCCCCCCCACAGACAGTTGAGGCTCCCGGCAGGGAAGGAAGTGCTCAGCCCTGCCGGAAGCCCAGGAAACACCCCTTCCCCAGTGAAGAAGCCAGACAGTACAATTCAAAGAGCTATTTCACAGTGGCAAAAGAAAGGCACGTGTCAAGAGAAAGTCAGAGGGCTCTGCTGCAGGCAGGGGAGCGAGGGGGTATCCTGGCTCTGCCAGCACCTGCTCCTCATGCCCGGCACAGCACCCTGGGCAGCTCCCTCCCCCCAAAGGCCCTGCTGCATCTCTTCCTTCCACAGGGACATGCCATCTCCCTCCTGAGTGGGGAGACCCACCCAAGGCCTGGCACTGACTGTTTTCACCATATAAAGATCCCTCCTCCTCACCCAGTGATGGTGAGGGGCCAGCAGCCCCATCCAGACCCCTCCACAGGATCCAAATCCAAAACCCCTTTTCCCATGCCCCCAAAGCCTCATCTAGAACAAAGCAAGAAAAGTTATTGCTGTTTTTCCTTCCCCCCTCACCCCGGTCCTGCTGCCACCAGGGAGGGATGCTCCCGTGGTCCCTGGTTGAAAAGTGATTCCACAGAAAAATATATCCTATAGGCAACAAAACAAACAAAAAACACCAAAACCAAAAAAGGCGGTGAGTGAGGTCCCAGTCTGTGTCCCTGCAGACATCTCTGAGCAGAGGGAAGGTGCAGGAGAGAAGGCAGTTCCTGGTCAAGGCAGAGATCTGGAGTCCTTTTGCAGCATCCACGCCGGTCGAATCGGCAGAGTCAGGCAGGAGGGTTTTACTCTCTAGAGGAAGGATGTGGTAGAGGATGGGAGGAAGAGTTTCGGGTCGCAGTGTCCCAGAATGGGGAGGTGCAGTGGTCTAGAGGAGGCAGAGCAGCCCGGGCTGCCCCCAGCAGCCCAGGCCCAGTCATTTGGCTGGCTAGTTGGCACAAACAGTCCAGCAAAAAGTCCAAAAATAAGACAAGGTAAAAGTCGGTCCATTCCACCACAAAGAGTTATATATATATTTTTATATATAATATATTATCAACCCAAGCTGAGTGGAGGCAGGGATGGCAGCTAGATCTTCTGCTGTGGAGAGAGAGGGAGAGAAGTTAGCACGGCCAGAGCATGAGCGGGCGGGGGATCACGGCCCCACGCGCAGTG